CTTGCATACTTTGTGCGCAACAAGCAGAGCTGTCTGAAGCGGCGTGCGGTGCAAAAATCGCAGTGTTGCTGTCAAAATATCAGCGCATATCGAACTTCGACCAACAATGGTCGTCGAAAAAACTATACAGACATTTTCACCCACAAGCGCACGAATTTCAACAAACCCGCAACACATCCCAGTGGAAAAAGCAGTAATGCATTACATGCGTGATTTTTTATGTGTTCTAGATTCCATTACTTTTTAATATTCTAATGTATCCAAAAAGTCCCCAAAAAATCATATTAAATCACTTTCATTCCTCGATACTGGTTAGTGCAAAATTTCACTTTTCGTAGCACATCGCCGTGGGAAAAAATGCATTTTCGAATTTGAAAACGGCTGTTTTACTGATTAGTTTTTCGATCACTATACATTACATTTTCCCACTGGGATAGTACACGTGCTGAGCAAAACTCATGAACATCATTGAATAGCTGTAAATATGTATGCACTACAAAAGTGACAACTTCAATGCACAAGTAACAAGACACGGGCACTCGAACAAACAAGTCAGAAGGCAAAAGTTTTTATGTTTGCTGTATTGCCTACGAAGCAAAGTTGAGAAAAATTTTTGTTGACAAGCATTTAATTTGTTTACGATACACAAATGTCATTGACACATACAATTTTATTTCGGTCGATTCTTCTTCTAGTACTTTGTATTTAGTTTACTACCATTTGGCTCCTCGAAACACCTTTCTACATTTATTTTAGACTATTCGACCACTCTGGGCACCACACCTTTATTTATTGTTAATGGTGTCAATCTCGCGATAAAAGTAACAAACGGTATATATGTATGTATGTATTTATGTAACAATCAAACGTCTGCAACACTAACACAAACAAGGCAAATGTCACCATTTTGCAATTTGTCACAATCGAATTGTCGCTTCGACGACTCGTCGGGTTTGTTACTGTTTCCGATAATTGGCAAAACTTTTACTGTGAGTTTTCAGTGTTTATGACACAACAAAAATGCACTTGGACATTTGCCTTTTTTCTCATACATCGTACTTATTTATGTTGGTAGAAAGTGGCCAAAAAGAGTAGCCAATTTTGTTTATTTACAATATTAGCTGAGCAAACTCTTTCGTACACCCCAAATGCGCTGATGTGTATGGCTTTGTGTGAGTGAATATGTAGCCACTCGTAAACATCTAATTGGATATATGTACATACTAGCTTATACCCGCGGATTTCACCCCCAAGTTTTTATACAAATACAAAAAAATAATTTAATGATGTTATATTTTATTTCTGTGCCCATTTTTTTATAGCTCTATATTTTTTAAGCGAGTTAAGATATTTAGAACTATGATATATCATTAAATCTCGTCTGCACGCTAGGCAAACGAAAGATATCAATCCCACCTCAGCGGGTTCTAATATTTCGAACTCAAATTGAGTAACCTAGCCTTGATAAAATACCACTTTTCAGTACTGTAGCTAAATGCCTCAAGAGGTTTGTATGCATCATGAGAGCTTTAGATTATAAGGCCGAAGTTGGCTCTCCCTTTTCCATTACATAAAATTTTTTCTGTCAGTACGGCACTTATATAAAATAAATCTCCATAACAAATAATAATAAAACACTTCCAGAGATTTTCTATCCTTCCACTGTATGATTACTTCAACGCCATGCTGACGCTGACATAGTTAGAAAATGAATGAAAATTGCAAAAATTGTAGAACCTATGTGCATACATACACATACGTAGTACTTCGCAGGGCGTGGAAATAGTTAGTGCGGTAAGAACAATAAGCCGCCTAATACTGCTAATGCTTAGTGCCGACGGCTTTGCCATCCACCAGAGAGCGATATTATCAGCGTAACTTCATTACCGAAGTTTAAAACACCAATACGCCATTTTTACATGGCGGCGGTTTAGGCCATGTTGTTTTCAGTAATGTCCATCCATTACTTTAGCGAGGTAAATTGTGTGCATATTTTTTTCTCTCTCTCTTGTGTTTTGTTTTTTGCTAACCGGCGCTAATTTAATTTTTTTTCGCAGCACTGCGTTAGTTGCGTTTTTCTATGTTTACTGTAAAGGTTTTTTGTATCAACTTATATTTTTTTTGTGTTGTTTTAAAATGAAAGTTTAATTCTGTTAAACTTTTCTCATTAAAACGTGCGAAACACTGTTGGTTAACGGTGAAAAAGTGAATGAGTGCAAAAACATTGTGTCAGTCTTAGGGCGTTGTACTCGTACATAAAAGCGTACGTCAGGGTAAGCGGGTAACAAATAGAGTAAAATTGTAGCTGAGTAACTGTTATACATTTTTTGTATACATCCGTGAATAAGGTGAGTTTAGGTAGTAACTATTTCTTGATTTAAGAATTAACATTAACTGATGATCGGGTGTTTTAATTGAAAGACCAAACAAAGTACTACCCCAAAACACAGCATAAGATATATCGACGGCTAATATTCAAACGCTCTATCTGTAATCTGTAGAAAAATTAATTTGCGTTGTTAAAATCAACCTTAGACCTAACTGTCATCGAGTATATTAAGGAGATCCTTGGTTATCACTTTCTATTAAAATTTTCTACTGCATTTAAAAGTTTGAAATAGTTTCAGAGTAGAGATCTAAGTCACAGACGGATGAGTTTTTATGAAAAATACAGATAGCCGGTATTGAATCTAAGCCCTGGATGTAATTTTGTAATTTTGCTAGTTAAGCCACTGCCAAAGGAAATTTCTTCTCTTAATTCTTTATGCTAAATAATCAGATAATATATGAGGAAATTCAAAGGCGATACATTTTTCAGTTATCCTTAATAATTCCAATGTAAATACCGTTATCCTAATATGAATAGAAATACCATATCTAGCATCTTTATTTCTCTACAGGACTGAAATGGTATTGAATTATGTATGACCGGAGTTTCCAAGAACCTAAACAATACTGCCCTTTGTACCTACGGTCTAGAGGGAGGAATTTAAAGAAAAGCGAACGATAGGTGGTGCGGGAGTTCACTACTATTTTGCAAACTTACCAGACTTCTTTTATGAACCTAAGCTGAATGTCGAGGCAAAGACAAGTCAGCTCGTCGTGAATATGCTACCCAAAATGTACCATCTCAATGTGACGAAAGCCGGACAGCTGCAGAGGAAATGATCTGTATTCGATTTCCTCAACTTCTAAACAGATTGTACACAGTGGGTCGTGGATGATGTTTATGATAATTAATTTTGCTCCGTAATCACACTTATCAGGGTTGGTAGCTCAATCTTTCTCTTTGTGAGAACCTGTTCTGGAGTGAATTGTTGTTTTGCAGTTTAGAGTACTATACCAACCAACGGCTCTCATGAGCTATATTCAGAAAATCCTTGATGTATGCCACCGTTCCCGCTATGATTGCCTTAAAATTGGCCCTGTTCCACAAGTTTAAGCTCATTCCACTTTGCAACGAAGTTTAGCCTCAACATACATCCGGGATCCCGGGATTAACATTCCTAGTACATACGTTCCTGGACTATTTTTAAAAGGTGCGAGCGGTTTAAGATCTTTAGAGTAGCTTAGCTACTACTGCATACCACGATTTTAGATATATCCACGCCACCTTTTGCCAATTATCCAGTCCGCTATTTTACGTATTGCAAATACTACCGATTTCAAGACATAAAGCAGTAAAGTATCGGAAGTTACTTTTCAGATGCTGTCCAGCTCCAATTCTCTTTTCAGTTTTGCAGCCGTCCGTATAGACAGTTTTCACCGAGTTCCCTAGAAGAGTGTCTGATACTTGTCGCTAGAAAAAATATCGACGTATCTTCTTCAAAACGAGACTTCAGGAATCAGTGTGTCTTAAGGTTCCAAGAAAAGGGCGCTGCTCTGTCAGTCGACATATTACCATCATTGCCTACTCTTGGATCGCTAAATACAAAGATAACAGACTCAACAAAGAATTGAAGCCTATTCCGAAGTTGTGCTCAAGAGCGCATAATGGCTATACACACTAGGATGGTCCAAAAATGTATATAGAAAAAGTAAAATCGGAATTTTTATGCTCTCACCACCCAGGATTCTTCTATACCGAAAAAATATATACCCCCATTTTTTATATTGAAATCGAAAAATATTTAGAGGGCGCTCAAAGTTTTCAATGCATTTTATGTGGGGAAAAAAAACAACTTTTCGTAGAAATAGTATAAAATTATTAAAAATCAATATTCTTCGATCCGCAGGAGCAGATAAAATAATACCCAATTGTTAATTTAACCGTTTTGTCATAGCAACTATAATTTATAGGTCCGCCAAAAATCCTTAAAAACCCCGAAAAATGCAATGGGGGACCAATAAAAAATCGCTACTACATATTGAAAGTCTCCCGAAGAGAACCTTAGTTTTCCGATCGAAAAATATTAATTTTCAATGATTCTATACTATTTCAACGAAAGGTTGTTGTTTTTTTTTTAAAGAAAAGCTGTTACCTCACAGCTGGTCCCATATTTATTTGGTTTAAATCCGATCATTGGATCATGAAGAAATTAATGATTATCTTAAATTTGTATATAAGAATTGAAGTCGGTTTTGTTTTTTGCTTAAAAATTACTTGTTAAAACAAAATATTCTTCTCAAAGGCAAATTCGAAACTCAAAATTCGAAGAAAACTGCTTGTTGTGTCAAAAAATGTACACTCGTGCTCGTTATCAAAATTAATTTTACACTAATAATAAAAAAATTATGCTTATTTACCCAAACATTTTAGCAGGCGATTAATGCAATTCCAATTAATAATAAATTTCTATAAAATATCTAATAAACTCTTCATGCTTCTCAATAAACGTTTATTCACATTTAGTTGACCCTCCGCCCTATCCACTTTTTGCACACAGTTTCCATTTTAAATACTCTCAGCATATATATATGTAAGAATGTGTGCATGAGAACAAAAAAATATACTTACATACATATCTATGTAGACATGTACACGACCGCCAGGTACTTACAGTTCAAGTGCCCAATCAAGGAATTTATGCAGGCCAT